GCTGACGGGATTAACCCCAGGTACCTGATAGCACCGGTTCCCATCCCGAACACCGAAGTAAAGCAGGAGGCCTCCCCATTAAGACTGGGGAGGGGGTGTAGAGTTCAAATTTTTTCTTTTCCCTTTCAAATTTCTCGGTTAATACTCGTTTGGTTTCCTTATACGAGGTAGTATGCGGTGAAGGTATCATCTGCTAAAAAAAATGCTGATTTTGTGCGGCCGTGACTTGTTTGACAGTGTAGCGGTCCGGCAAAGATTCGGCAAGGTGTTCCGTTCCCCCTCGCATGGCCGAAACCGAGTTAGGCCGGCCAAGGGCGCCAAGGGCCCGTCGGCCAGGAGCGCCGGGCGGGGCACTTTGCCGACTCCATTGCAGCATTAGTTATTCCTTGTGCGTGTGGCGCCACGAATTTGCGTTCGCCAGCCTGCGCCAGGCTCGGCGGGGCGGCGGCCGGCGGCGCTGACCCCAGCCGAGGACGCCGCCGACAGTGCCTCGAAATCAAGGAGGAGTTTCATTTCGCGCACCTGGCTGGCTGGCTGGCTGGCTACCGGGCTGGCTGCCTGCTTGGCCTTCCCCGCCACGCGCCGCGCCAACATATTCGGGGCTAATACAATCCCCCGCACGGCAAACAAGCGCATGGCGGTGGCCCCGCCAATCCAACCTTCGCAGCGCCTTCGCGGCAGGCAACTTTGGCCCGACCGCCGAGAAGCAACTTTGACGGAAGGATTGAGGAACAGTGCGCGGCGTGCCAAGGCGCTTCGTCGCTCTGTCCTTCTCGCACCCCTGCGGACCGCGCCGCGAGGCCGCGGCTGCGACGGAGGGACGTAGAGCCGAGGGTGCGGCGGTGGGGAGAGAGAGAGAGAGAGAGAGAGAGAGAGAGAGAGAGAGAGAGAGAGAGAGAGAGAGAGAGAGAGAGAGAGAGAGAGAGAGAGAGAGGGGCTTGCAAAAAGACGCGCGTGTCCCAGCACGGCGGCTAACACGGCCGATTACGGCCCGCGCTTCCGCCTGCACCGCCACAGGGAGGAGGAGGGGGAGGAGACTTCGGGACTGCCTCCGTCTCTCTCTCCACGCAGCCGAGGCTAGCCGAGGCCGCGGCCGGGTCCGGCTGGCCGGTGGTGGCAGGGGCCGGGCTCCGGCCGGGCAGGGTGGAAGTTGCAGCCGAGAAAATGAGTTTAGTGTGAACTTGGCCAGAGGTTCCGACGTCGCGTATTGCGGCCCCGGGGCCGAGGGGGCGGGGGGGGGGGATGCCTGGCCCAGGGGGGATTCCAGACCCCTGGCCCGGAAGCCGAGGCTCCGCCGAAACTCGCCACCGCGGCCCGCCGACCCGCCAGCCTGCCATCGCCGCGGTTACAGAATAGGCCCGAACTGTCGGGGACGGCGGGACGCTCGGGACGGTGGTCTTGGCCTCGGCGAGGGCAAAAAGCAGCCCTGGGTCGGCGGGCGCACGGAGACCGGCGTGCCGAGCGCGACTCAAGTCGCACCACTGAAACTACGCCAGGTAGCGAGCAAATCACGGCCCGGGTCGCGGCGCCTTGGCAGCCAACACGCCGCCGGCCGGCCGGGCCAGCCCTGCCTTCTCCGTATTGATGTTTGCAAAACTGAACGCTCCTCCGTGCGAAAGCGCGAGCCCCTTGCTAACGAACGCATGGACCGATTCCGAGACGGTCTCTCTCGCACTCGCGGGGCCTCGCGCGCGTCCCGCGGCGGTGCGAGAGAGACGGAGCGACGGGGTTGGTCGGCCTGGCCCGCAGCCTTGGCCCGCAGGCACCGCGCTGAGAATAAACAATGAACCAACTACTTGGCAGACGGCCTTGTTGCGGGGCTCCACGTCGGCCGCGTCGCCGCGTCGCCCGCGAGAGGTTGCCTTGTCTCGCGGCCACTTAGGACCGAAAAGTCTGACCTGTTCGGCCGTCCCGGCGCCTCGCCACGAATAATTCAAACCCGGTTTTGGCGCCGCGGCACACTACACTCTGAAAGCCTTTCAGTGGATTCCCGATGTTATGATGTGCAGCGTAACGAATTATCGCCACAGGCCGTCCAAAGGCATCAAAGAGGTGCGTTTTGGTGGGAGGCGGGGGCGTTGTTTCACCCCTTTGCGGAGGCCTTGCGGTTTCATTTTTTTTACGCGTCATTTTTGTTTCTCATTCTATTCTCCCGGCCTCCCAAGTTGTTTTTCTGATTGAACGAAAGGCCGCCCCACTGGCCCCGCCAGGCCCCGCAAAGCGCGACGAGGGTTGGTGACGCCGGCGACGAATGGAGGAAAAAAGAGAGAGTCCTGTTTATTAATTTGAACCCTGAAGCTGCCACTCAAGCGCGCGGGGGACGGGGGGGGGGGGGGGGTGGAGGAGGAGGAGAGAGAACAGCGCTTCGAGTGCGACCCGATCCAGCGCCGCTATGAGGAAAACACCCAGTCGGCGGACGGAGAGAGGAAAAAAGGAGAGAAACTTGAAGCCATTTTCTTGGCTGCGCGCGCTGCGTGTGAAGTTGCCTGGACTGGCGGTGGTGGCGGCGTGTACGTACAGGGCTGCCAACCGAAACAGCCTCTGTTGCGTGTCGATGGCGGCCGGGGGGGTTGGCAGTGGCGACACGCCAGGTAGCGGCGCAAACTACATCCGGCACCACGCCACTGTCACGTGACGTCACGGCCTCCGCCTCGAGGGCGCTAGTTCGTTCGGTTTGTTCCGATTCAAGGAATGGCCGGCACACTGTTTGCCCAGGATGACTGGCCCCACCGAAGGGGTGCGAGAGAGACGGACGGCCTCTGCGCTAATTGGTGGAGCAAACTTTGCGGCCCTGCCGAGGCCCTGCCGAGGCCTGGGTTCCTGGTCGCCCCTTGAAAAGGGCCAGTGGACACGGCCGCAGCGCCGCAGCCTCACGGCTCGAGGAGATCGACCGACCGACCGGCCGGCCGACCCGGCCTGCCGGGGCTAAGCGCGCAATCAGCTTTACACGCATCCCGCCCCACTCCAAGCTGAGCGGGGCGGGGCGGGGCGATGGCCGCGGGGGCGGCAAACTGTCGGGCCATCCGGTACGTGGCGCCCCGCCCGCCACCCGGACTGGCGTGGCTGCGACGGCCGGCCGCCGTCACAGTGCTCGCTCCCAGACCAGCGGGGCGTCCCGGCGTCCCCAGACCGGGGCCACTGCCCTTCCGCGCCCTTGGAAGTGACCGCGTCTTCGAGTGCCGGCGACTCGAGCTTTGCGGACTAAATCAGACGAGTCGCTTGGCTGCCGCTGCCTACCCGGCGTCCGGCTCAGTCCGTCTGGCAGTCCGTCTGGCAGTCCGTCTGGCAGTCCGTCTGGCAGTCCGTCTGGCAGTCCGGGCCGCAGCTGTTGGGGAGGGGTAGGCAGGGGGGCACCCCTATCCGAGAACTTGGGCCGGCCCGCGCTCCACTGGAACTGTTCAGCTGCTTGGATGCTTTATGTTTACCGAGTCAGGGCGAGTTGGAGGCAGCGGCAGTGGCGGCGCAGGCCGTGCCGAGCCGAGCAAGAGCTGGGCCCCAGGCGGCACAAGTTGTCTTCTTAACGGGCCGAGCAGCGCTGTGCGGCAAGGCCAGGCAAGGCGGCACTGTGTGTGTCCACCGAGACGCGAAATGCTGCTGGGGCCGGCGAGGCCGCCGACCACGAGTGTCTTCCCCTCCCCCTGGCCGCCCCTGGCCGCCCCTGCCCCTCGAGGTCCTCATCACTGCCGAGAGGAGCAAAGGGCCCTGTATTACTGCTGCGGCAAGATGCGGACCGACTCAAGAAATAGGGGACAACTAACTTGGCGGCACCGCGGGGGGGAGGGGAGGGGGAGGCCAAAGGTACATTGGGCCAGCCAGCAGCAGCCGGGCTTGCGAAAGCAGAAGGACTCGACAAATAATTGCACGCTCGACAGAAAATACTCCACTCCGGCGATCTCGCTGCAATACGCAGAACTGCTTGGTGCGGGGCAGCGACGACTGTGTACTGTGTGCAGAAAGCGAGTACCGCGCGCAGCGTTCGGTCCGTCCAGTCGGAGTGGCAGCGCTGCGCAGCACGCCGACCGCCGGCAGCGTCGATTACGCTAAGCACTCCTCCAGCTAGCCTCGCTCGCTGGCCCCGCTAGCCTCGCTAGCCTCGCAGCGGGCAATAGGCTCATAACGCAATGGGCGGCATGTCGAGGGCAGTGCTGCCAGTGGCTTCATTACTGGACGTCCTAACTGCCTCCCCCCCCCCCCACACGCCTGGTTTACAGCCCCCCCCCCTCAAAACAAAACAGACAGCCGGCAGGACGCCCCGCACTCGGCGTGCGACCGACGCCGCTGCCGCTCAGTGCCTTAACTGCAGGCGTAATTAAACGCCGAAAGGAATAACAGGTCGGCCGACAGACCGCGCCACGCGCTTGTTGTGTGCTTTCTCGCTGTTTTCTGCCCCGTTTTGTCGCTCCTTCCTCCTCGCACGACGGCGGCGGTTTTATTGCCCCGTGCGAACCCCGGTGCCTGCCTGCCGGCTGCCTGCGCGGTGCATTCCGGCGGCGAGGTCGATACACCAAAAGCCATTCCCAGCCATGTTCGTGCACCTCGCCGGCAAGTACCGGAACCCGTTGACCCGAATCTGGGAGCGCAGAGCGCGGGGCGCGCCGGGCCGCGGCCGGGCGGCGGCGGCGGCAACGGCGGGGAGCTCGAGGAGGGGCCAACAACTTAGTCTCTCACGGGTCAAGCAATACGCACGCAGAACAGTGCCCCCCCTCCCCCAAACACACACACAGAGACACACACCTGCATACTAACACTCTCTCACTTTCCCACACATCTTCTCGACTCCACTCATGCATTCACAGTCACCACCAACACCTACAAACACACACACACACACACACACACACACACACACACACACACACACACACAGCGCAGTCCCGCTCGTTCAGTTACTTTATATTCGCTGTTTGCAGCGCAGGACTGCGTTTATTTCTCTCAAGTTCCGGAGAGCGCGCGGTGCGCGCGCGGCGCGGTGCACTGGGTGGATTCAGCGCAACACCAACCTTGCTTTGGCTCGGCGTCTGCGCTCCTGAAACAGAAAAAAAAGGGAACAACTCTGAGTCTTTGCTTTGTTTTCATTTTTCGTTTCGTTTATGCTTTTTATTTGCACTTTTTGGTGTGGAACTGCAGCGCGTAACGTGTCGCAGAATTATTTCCCCTCGAGCCTCGCTGTCGCGGCGGTGTACTTTATAGGGGTGACGAACGCGACCTGAAAATGGGTGCTCTGTGTTCTCATCGCGTCTGGAAGATAGCGAGGCGGGGCGGGGCGGGGTTGGTCGGGTCGCTGCACAGGTATATACGCGGCCGATAACCGTCCATGCCGTAATAAGGCCACCACCTCGACGGCCTGGACGGCCTGGAGCAGCGCGGAGCAGCGCGTGGCGAGGCGGGTAATGGAAACAGATGGTGTGTTGTGAGAACGACGAGACGCAGCAGACGATTGGAGGCCCGCCGAGGACGCCGCCGAGGACGCCGCCGACGATCGGGGCAACGAACCGCGCGGCAAACAACCGCCACAGTGTGACGCCGCCACGCCGTGCCAGGCAGTGTTCTCTCATGACAATCGCACCGCCCGGCCCGGCCTGGCCCAGCCCGGCGGGGAGCCCTAAACTCGGAGCTTCAGCGCCTCATCCTCGTCGCGCTGCCCCCCGGGGACCACCACGGCCACCACGGCCACCCCGCCGCGCGGGCACGGCTCGCATCGCCACGGCGCCGACCCGTGGCGCTGCCCGTGGCGCCTGCGGGGAGCAGTGTAGGCAACACAGCGCGCGCGCCTGCCTGGCGGGCCTGCCTGCCTGCTGCTGGGAGCGCCCGGCAGGCCGGCCGTCCCGCGGCACAGCGCAGCACGCCGTGTTGCCTACACTGCTTCCCGCAGGCGCCCGCGCCGCCTGCCCGTGCGTGCGTCAAAAGCTGCCTGTCTGTTTTCACGGTGCTTCTCTTTGCGCGCGACGCACTGCACGGTCGAGCGGCCATTTTCTGAAGGAGTTGGTGCTGCAGTATGCCTAGATGCCGGGCCTGCCGGGCTCGTCGAGCCGTGACGGGGCGGGAGCACATTCGCGCTGTGTGCACACAGTGTGCGCGGGGCACACGCGGACAAAGACGCACGGCGGGCACATATGAGGCGGCGGGGCGCGCGGGGCGGGCAGGGCGCGCGGGGCGGGCAGGGCGCGCGGAGCGGGGGTAAGTAGTGCGGACCGGGTTATTGCTTTCCCCACCTGCGCCGTCAGCCCCAGGGCGGCCCAGGCGCGGGCCGGGGACAGGCCCGGGGACAGGCCCGGGGACAGGCCCGGGGACAGCCCGGCGCAAATGGACACGCCAAGTGACAGTCGGACAGATTCCATGCAGAGCGACGCGTCTGGCGGACGCACGGCGAGCGAGCGGTGGGGTGGGTGATGAGAATGCAGCAATGCCGAGCAATGCAGCGACGAGCCCGGCACGGCGGCACGGCCTGCCAAGGCGTCTCATTTCGACCGAGAGGGGGAGGGGGCGGCGACGGTGGTTCGATTCTCCGCTTTCGTGCGCGTCTTATGTTTTTATGGCCCGCGGGGACTGAGCGGGCGTCACCAGCGGGGCTGTGGGGCCCGGGGGGCCTGGGGGCCTGGGGGGCCGGCCGGGGCGTCGTCGCGGAGGTGTATCCGACATGGCGACGAGGCGCGCTGCACGCCAACGACGCCGCCGTGCTGCTCCCCGCCGCGGTCACCAAGCCCCGCGGGACGGCCGCCCTTTCGACCCAGTTGGGACGGTCCACCAATACGCGGCGCGGCCTGCCCAGACCGCCCCGCCCCGCCCCGCCCCGCCCCGCCCCGCCCCGCCCCGCCCCGCCCCGCCCCGCCCCGCCGACCCCACCCGCATCAACAACCCCAAAGGGCCTCATGGTTTCTGCAAGCAGCGCGCGCGCTTATCGCTTCATATTTCGGAGGGACTCCGTGTGCCACTTTGGACGGCACCTGAGGCGCCCGCCCCCGCCGCCCCCCGCCGCCCCCGCCGCCCCCGCCGCGGACGAGACGGAGACGACCTTAACCTGACAAATCACCTGCCTGCCTGCAACGTGCCCCCATCACCCTGCACGCCACGGCACGGCGCGGCACGGCGCCTCGAGACAAATGATGGCTGCCGAGGCCGCGTATGCCACCTGCGTAGCGACGCGCCTACCCACTTCGCCTCCGATTGCTCGGCTCACGTCCCGCGCCGTGATCTAGTTGCAGTGGCCGGCGCACTGCCGCACTGCCGCACTGTCGCGACGCGTTCGCCGGGGCGCATAGTTGCAGCTTTTGCCGCGGCAGCGCCGCCATCGCGCGCCGATATTTATTGGTGGCCCCGCCCGGCCCTGCCAACACACTACACCACACTACACTGTCGGGGCGGCGGCTGCGGCTCGACGAGGCCTCTACTCCGGGCTGTCGAAGAAAGGCAGCAAGTTGTAAATCACGGGCCGTAATAGAGTTGGGGCAGGTCGTCTGTACACTCACTCCAGCAACTTGAGCCGACGCTGCCATTGGCGGCCATGGGCGGCCGTGGGTGGCCATTGGCGCACGCGGCAAACGAGGCAAGCGGGGGAAAGAAGTGTTGTTGCAAGGCGCAGGCAAGGCGCAGGCAGGGCAGGCAGGGCCGCCGAGGGAAAGGAAAGCGCTCAAATGTTCCGCGGGTCATTAAATGCGGCGACGCGGTTCGGCCCCATAATGCTGTTGCCGTTGACACTTTGTGCAGGAAGCACTCTCTCTCTCTCTCTCTCTCTCTCTCTCTCTCTCTCTCTCTCTCTCTCTCTCTCTCCCTCACCCACGCGGACGGACGGACGCCCACGGACGCACAAACACACGCACGCGGACGGCAAGCCCAGGAAAAATCTGTTCAGTGGCGCCCTCTCAGCGGCTGAGCGTGGTGGAGGCGGCCCGTCGGTCGGGGTGAGGGAGGAAGGTGGAGGAGGAGAAGGAGGCGAAGGAGGAGGGCGGTATGTGGAAAATGAAAAGCAAAAGAAAGACGAGAAAAAGGAGCTATAAATCCAACTTGACTTGAAAACGCCTGCTCGCCCTCACACAGGCCATATGAGGCCTGCGGGCCTGCGGCGTGGGGTGGGAGGGGCGGGGACGGCACAGGGTCAAAGGGAGAGGATCAAAACGGACAGGATGGAAGACTATGCGGTCGCGAGCGCGCGCTTTTGGTGTGTGTGTGTGTGTGTGTGTGTGTGTGTGTGTGTGGCGCAACGAACGGGAGCAACAGCAAACAGTTGAAAAAAGGATATTGATACGACAGTCTTTCATCGGACGCAATGAAAAGGCCTTGATCAATCACATTCGAGGGCTGTGCGCTGCGGGGTGCGCCGGGGTGGGGCGGGGCGGGGCGGAGGACACGTCAAGCTCGTCCACGGGACTGGCGCTGTGCGCGGGGCGCGGCGTGGCGGGCCAGTCCACTTGATCGGCACATGGAGTTCCAGCCAGCAGTCCCCGCACTGCAGCTGCTGGCTGCGCGACGCGGCCGGTAGATGTCGCTGCAGGTAGTGTAGGCCCCCGCGGCCTTTGTGGCCCCGAGGCCCGGCCGGCCAGACTGGGCCAGACGCGGTGCTCGGCCTGCTCGGCCTGCCTGGCCTGCTTGGCGGGGGTTTGCCAACTTGACATTTTTCGAGCCATTTATCGCCCCAGATGGGCCCGCGCGGTGATAAGAAGTAACGGGCCTGGAGCCGTTCCGCGGGCCGGTCGGATATGAGAACGGCGTGTGTGTGTGTGTGTGTGTGGAGAAGAGTGGAGAGAGAGAGAGAGAGAGAGAGAGAGAGAGAGAGAGAGAGAAGAAGGGGGAGGGGGGGGGGGGGGCGCGCGCGCGCGGTGGGCCCTTGATGGTGATGCGAATGAGTTATGAGTGACCGGCTTTTGTCTCTTCGTGAGGATCTCCCCTCCCCCCCCCTCCCCCTGCTCTGGCCCCCCTTCCCCCCTCTCTCTTTTGAAGCGAACGAGCCCCTCGGCCAGACCCCCTCCCACCCCACCCGTATTCATTTGTGCCATGTCACACTCAGCACCAATCCACGCGTACGGACACACCGCGCGGAGCCGCGCGGAGCAGGGCGAGGCTGCTTCCTTTTCTGTCTCAACGCCCCTCGTGCTCACCCACACATTTACACTTGCACACACACGTGCGCGTGCACGCACGGCGCGCGCCGGCGCTGAAACTGAATTAATGCGTCATGCAGGGCCCACTTCCTGCTCAGGCAGTCACGCGCGGAGAGGGGCGCCGTGGCGGGGTGGGGTGAAGTGGGGCGGGGTGGGGCGGGGCGGGGGCCGACAGGACGGAGGTGTGGCAGATTTATGAGGTGATCGTGGCAGAAGGTGGCCGGAGTGCTTCGGAAAGCTCATGCTAATCGTGTCGCTTGCTCGACACGTTGTTGCGGCCACATGTGTGTCGCCTCCAGCCAGGCAGGCAGCCAGGCAGGCAGCCAGCCGGCCAGCCAGGCAGCCAGCCGCTGCCCACCTTGCGCGCCCCAAACTTTTCCAAACTGGCGAACGGCATCCTTGTTCAGGAGCGTTGCCCTCCACTCCACACAGCGCGGCGCGGCGGGCTGGCCGGTTGCTTTTTACGGTCTGCAGTCAATTTACGAGTCGGCCACTCTCCCCTTCCTCCCTTGCTGCCCTTCCTGCCCTTTGGACCCGCACCACCCTTCCGTTTCCTTAAGGCCGGCCCTTACCCTCCCAAAAACGGGGCCGGGATTGGTGGCCGCTCGACCTCGACTCGACCAACAACAGAGTCTGCCCTGCAGCGCGCTGTGCATTAATATTGGGCCTCCACCACAGATGACCACCCCGCCGGGACCCGCGCGCTTCAACGCCATCCCATTTGCCGCTCAACACTAATAATTTAATGTTTTGTTTGCCGACTGTCCCGCGAATCATCCACGATTGCAAAATAAAAATAATAGCTCTTGCGTTGTGCACGCGTCCACTACTCCTTCTCGTTGCAGTTGCCGTGCCAGAACGCACACACAAGGGTCCCCGCGTTGACACAGTCGATTTTGTTTGTTTTTGGAAAGTATTGAATGCGGCTTCT